GCAGTACCAGCTGAAGCAAGTGACAATCATAGTATTTGGAAGCGTTTTGTGCTTAATGCTGAACTTGCTTTGTTATAGTTGAAGCTCAAACACTTATCTCCAAATAACATGACGGTAAAAGATATTCAGGTACTAGTTTCAGAGCTTAGAGATCCAGTTAGTGCCTTCAGTGGATTATGTGAGAGAAAAGACCTTCCTTCTCATAGAAGTTTTCTTTTTTTTTTTTTTCCCCTTTCTTAATCACCCAGCATATAGCTCTGACAGGATAAGAGCCAAGTCCACCTTGCTTCTGCAAAAACTGATAGAACTTCAGCATCTGGACAGAATTTCATCCATTAAAAAAAAAAAAATAATAATAATAATCAGATAACATAGTTTTTCAATGTGCACATCCAGTCTGTAAGCAACCCTTTTCTTTTTCAGATACATTACACAATTAAGCTACCTTTTTGGAAATACTCATACTTTCCCTGTCCTTTTGTTCATTTATGAAGGAAAAACAAGTTCATAAGAGCTGGCATGTATTCAGATGGGATTAAGGCACACTTGTTAACATTACAGTAAGGACTTGAGAACCTCAACTAGTTCAAGCTTGAGCACTTGAAGGAATCTTGTCACAGTTGACCTCTTCATTCCCTTGCGCTTCAATGACCTGTTTTGAAGTATGTGGATACTTACGTATATTCTACAGTTGTGCAACTCCAAATTGTATTAATACACTCTTCCCTGTTCAATTGTTCCAGGTTTCTATAATAGCCAGGTGCTCCCTAACAGCTGGGGACTGAGATTTCACATTCATCCATCTCAAACACTTGTGAAAGCTGTATTTGCAGCTGCCAAGGTCAGGTTATTCAGATTTAGCTTACTTAACTCTTGCCTACCAAGAACTGTTTAAAACTCAATCATGTATTTTTCTAGCATGCATCAGGAAAGTGTATGGAGCGCTTTTTAAGCAAGATACAAACAGTAGCTATTGTTGTTATTTCTTGTTTGTTGTCTACTAGCTTCAGCTTCTGAACAGATCATTTGAACTGTCACCTCCTCTAGGAGAAGAGGAACACTAGGTCAGACACACAGCAAGGTGAAGCAAGCAAAACTCCCAGGGATGCAATTTCCATCCCTGAGCACAAGCTGCAGCATTACAAGCTCTGCTGCTGTGTGTACCACATCAGCTTCAGTAGGCATCAAACAAGCCCATGATTCTTAAAATAACTAGTTCAGGATAAAACAGAAGCTTCTTTAAACTCAACCCTTGGGGCTCCAACAGAGCATAATCCCAGTTGGTATCACAGCTGACAGGAGTTGCCCTCAGAGACATTAAGTACACTTTCATCCCAAAAATACTACTTCCATTAAATCCTTCAGATCACTAGAGAACACAAGATTCCCCTGACTTCAAGCTGCAAGTGTCTAAGCTCCTCCTTTCCATTTGCAGGCTCCTTAGCAGCCAAGACAACACATACAGCGCTCCAGGCAACCAGAGAGGACTTGAGCAGAGCTTTCCACCTCATCATGCGTACTTGGTTCTGCTTGAGGATCTTTGGGCTGAGGTACAGCACACATGATCTCTCTGCCAGCACCTGCTGGAAAAGAAGATCAACTGTTTCTCCTCCTCCATTCAGGGGAGAGTTTAATTCCTGGGCTGCCAGCTGATGAAGCATCTCACCCTTAAATCACTCGTGTGTCGCCTGCTCTGCAAGATTTAAGTTCATGACAGCAGGACCTTAGTGATTAACACATCTGGAACACTAGAGGCTTGCATGCTTGTGTTTCATTACCACTGTCCGCCACCGCAAGGTCAGACACCTGGAGGTGCTCGTCCACTGGAAAGACAGCCGGGATAAGCCCTACATATTTTTGCTATCCAGCTTCAAGTGTACCATAGCTCCAGTCACATGCAATGCCCAAGTCACAGGCGGGAGAAGTGAAAGCGAGACTCGTTTCTGTCGCGATGAGGGATCACAGCACCCTGCAACAGCGTATAACAGGACGCAACACCTAGAGAACTCAGCTCAGAGCCGTGGCAGACACCTCTCTGACACCACAGCGTCAACTTTAACAGGAACCGAAATGCTGAGGGACGTAGCTTCCTTCAGAACGCACCCGGGGACCGCAGCCAGCCAATTAGATAACCACGAGCAGCGAGCCATACACGGCTCCGAGCGGCTGTTCCCCAAAATGATCGTTAACCATCCCATCTCCGACGCGCTCCCTCAGGAGACGTCAAACCCGCCCGGCCCGCCTCGCCCCGCTCACCGGTCAGCTCAGCCACAGCCGCGCACACCGCGCCGCCGCCTCACCGGCCTCGCTCACGCTCACGCGCACGCCTCCCTGCCCCCCGCTCCCGCCCTTTATTGCCGCGCAGCCGCCCCGCCTCCGCCTCCCCGCGCTGAGGCGACCAACGGGCTCCCCCTCCCCGCCCGCCTGAAGCGAAGGAGCGGGGGCGGGCGCGGCGAAAAGGGGAGGAAAAGGATCTGGGTTATTTGTACAGTAATCAGTAGAGGAGGGGGGAAAGAAAAGTTGTTCCACCGCTGAGGGAGTTGGAATGTTTCTAGTGGAGCTAGAACGCTGTTTGCCAATCATAGCTAGGGTACTGTTACTTTCCTACACCCTAAAGGAAGAGGAGTTCAAACCTGAGCGCGTGTAGAAAAAAGCTGAGCCTGTACGAGGAAGCTGAAAAGCCCTTCTAGTCTCAGCAAACAAAAAGAGGCTTGGCCTGTTTTGACAAAAAACAAAAGCTGAGCAGGAATATGGGCAGGTTTCTTCTGTTTATTTTTCTCTGTCAGCACACTGTTGGCATAAATTACAGGAAACGAGGAGAGCTGTTTAAATTAAAGGATAACACTGACGCAAGAAGAAGATCCAAGGCATCTTCTGTCATTTTAGATTGTCATCCCTTCAGAGCACAGCACCGGAGAGCAGGTAGAATGAAACCGTCTCATGTCAAGGAGGAGCTAGATAAGAAAATCCTTAACGTGGTTGTCTGTTATACAGACAACTGTCTGGAGTTATACAGCTAAACTTGAGGATCCAGGACACCTCTTCAAACAGCTTTTTTTCCAGGTCTTCTGAAACAAGAAATAGAAATGGGGAACTCGAAAAGGAGTAATAGGAGAAATGACGGAGGCAGAACCACCAGTGAGGAAGTGTTGCACTTGGAGGTTAAAGCAGTGAATGGTCTCCCCTTTTAAAGCAACAGTTTCAGCTGCACTTCTGCCAAAAAAAAATGTTACTGTCTGATGGCAGCGACTGATTATTTGGACAGCTGCCTCACAGACAAACATCAATTACATGATGCTGAAAAAATACTGTCTGTAATATTTATTAGATATCAATAAATGCAAAGAAACTTGTAGCACATTTTAGTATTACAGGTGTTAAAATATTACTAAACGATTCAGTGTATTTGCTTAAAAGTTTCTGTTTCACAGAACTGTTTGTAAAAACAAAGGGACACCTCAACCACATCTTAAAATTGAACACCTGAGATGTTTTCTGCCTTTCCTGCTTTGCGTTGACCACACTTCAGTGGAAGGGCAGCACTCAGTGCAGTGCATGTAAAACTCCTGACAGTACACCTGCTCTTGGCAATCGCAGCCCACTGGTCCTACAGAAAGGCCAGAGGGACGAGATCTTGACATGCCATTTAAAACTTGCCAGTTCAGAGTTGTGTAGGTTGCAGGCAGAAAGAGGAATGCAGCCTTGAGTAATGGACACCTGGGAGATTGGGCCCATATACCCCCAGTAGAGGCCAGCATTCTGCTCTCCATGTCTGTGTCGTGGATTACTGCATGATGTGGATAGAAAATGTGGAAACACAGCTCCACTGGTGAGACAAGAGATAAGGGCAGGGGCAACTGCATGAAAACTTTGACTGCTGAAGTTGTTCTGACGCTGTCCCAGGGTACAGCCATGATGCCAACACTTAGGCAGGGCTGACTTTCCAATTGGGACACATTGTGGAAGTTGTTTCAAGGGGAGGATGGACAAGGACCAACCAGATCATCGAATGGTACTGTAACAGAGGAAAATGAGAGTCTGGGACCACCAAGAGAGAGGTAGGTATGAAATGTTATAAACACAGTGCAGCTCATTCATTTTAATCCAGTAAATAGGGCAGCAAGTTTGGTGGAAGAAATGCCCTTTTAAAACTTCTAAGTCAGCTCAGTGACCTGACACTATCAGATTAGTCTTCTTCCGTGTTGCACTGCTGAAGGTAATATGTCAACATAAATCTTGGTTGCTGCAATTGTTAAAGCCATAAAGTGAAGGAGAGTTATTAATACATGGTAGTAAGAGCTGCCGTGCTCTATTCTGTAAGTGAGCATCAAATGTGCCATTGAGAAACTCTCCCTTTGGTTTGACATGCAGAGTCTGCAGCACTAGGAGCACAGAAACAGATAGAAACATCCCACCCATAAGGGGTTATTCAAAAATCCTCTGTTGGAGCCCCAGAGAGAGCTTCTCTCACAGTTGGTAGCCATCTTTGCAAGTGTTTGAGGTTTCCTTCACGGTGATGCAACAATCCTTCCTCTTGACACAGTAATGTTAATTAATAAAAATAGACACGGGAAGTCCTGTATAGATTCACAGGATCTAGTTCTGGGAACAGCAGTCTTACAGAAATCTGAGATTATACTTGTCTCTACAAGCAGAGCAGCATCCAGAAGGTTCTGTCAAAGGGGTGAGAGGTTGCTTTGTAGGACTGACCAGCTTCCACCAGAAAGCAAAGAGCTGAGAAGCACTTTCTCCCTAAGGGGCAAGAAATTCCACTAGAGCCCTTCAAAAAAGCGCAAAGATGGCTCTCAAAGCTGAGGCTGCACTGAGATCTGAGGAGGATACAGAAACTCAGTGTTATTGACTCCTGTGAATGACTCAAGATATCGCTACCTATCAGCTCATAGAATCATAAAATCATAGAGTCATTAAGGTTGGAAAAGATCACTAAGAGCATCCAGCCATCAACCAACCCCACCATGCCCACTAAACCACGTGCTTCATCTATACATTTCTTGAACACCTCCAGGGATGGTGACTCCACCACCCTGGCACAGCTTCGCCACATGCCATCTGGAAGCTGCAGACTCTTCTTCTCATGAATTGGTTTATGTGTACATGAGGGTTTTCCTTTCCATGAAGTTTCTCCTGCCCAGGCCTTCCCTCAGAGCACATGCTGAGGTGGAACGTGCTTAGTGGAGGGCGTGGGCAGCAGTCTGTCCTCCGATTTGTTTTGCCTTGCACCTGAGCTTGCCCAAGCAGCTTTAATCAGTCACAGTTTCCCAGAACCCGGGGGAGGACAAACGGTTAGAAATTTTGGTGGTGTAGGAGAAGACAAGAACTGAAGAGGGGAGGAGGCAGAGGTTGGTGGAGAAGGCTGATTTGCAAATCAACCTTGCAAACTGAAAATAACATTTATTCTATTTTGGGAGCTGTGAGCAAACTCGGGATCCATCACCATATGTTCAAGCTGCAGGTGGCAAGCACAGCAAAGGGAGGCAAAGAGAATATATTGTTCAGGGAGCACAGCCCCAGACACACAAAGCTGCCCCACAAATCATGTACTTTCCCCCACTACAGATTTTCACTTTGAAATTGCAGGTTTTTCACGTTCTCTCACCATCCCCAGCTTTGGGAAATGATGCACACAGGGTGCGGTGCCTGCACCACACCTCCCTTCTGTGCATGAGCCCTGTCTGCCGCTTCCGTCACTGCAAAAACAGTCACAGATGCTACTGTTCACCCCCACAAATTTACAGTTTGAAGGCCCACAGACACAATTAAACATCTCTTAGTACTCATCCAATCCCTGTATAATATGTCCCTGCCATCAAACTCATAGTCCCTTCACTAACACATAGTTGCCTCCTGACTTTATTCAGCACCTCAAGATTTAAATAACCCAGTGTTTCACCATAGTAGTTTGCCACATCTGTTACTTAAATTTGCAGCTACAGGGCCATACAGTTTTATCTGGTTTTAACTTCCACCTCTCCTTCTTTTCAGTATGTTTTGTTTTGTTTTTTTTTCCCTGACAGATTACAGGGGCTTTTATTGGAAAGTAGTCTGAATTCTTTAAGGATTTTTCAGCAGGCCTTTTATTTCTAGCTGGTGGAAATGGTAACCAGACAAGGAGGTTTTGCATAGATAATGCAGTTGTGTAGTTTAAAATAATCTAAATTAGACCTGTCAGAGTCTCCCCTAACCCATCCTCAGAGGTCAGGTTTATGCCACAGGGTAGTGAGGCAGCTCAGGGAACTGACCCCACTGAAAATTGATCCAGCCACAGAGGTCAAATTCAGCAGGGCTAGCCAGCTGGTAGGGCCACCACGTACTTACATTCCAGCAACACAAGCATGGGAGGTGAGGCAGAATGACAGCAAACTTTAAGCTGCAGTGAACTTATGCTTTCAGAAGCCTTTAGGCTCACCTAAAGTACAAAGAAATGTCTTGGTCTGCCCCCTGGGCTACTGGGAAGCTCTACAACTCTGGAAGGTGCTGTGTTCCAACACAAAGATGACAGCTTGAAGAGCTGAGCATAGGGTAGCACCTTCAGCAGCTCTCTGCTGTGATCTGTCCCTCGGCACGACAGCTGCTCCCCAGTGCCCAGGTCTTTCCAGCTCTCCTGCTGGAAGGGGATAACAATCTTACCACCAGAATTTAGTCTCACGCTATCAGATCAAAGACCACCATTTTCACATCCTCCCTTCCATCTCCATGGCCAGATGCTGTCCTGTAAGGATCCGGGAGGGCCCTGCGGACTGTTTTTGCCTACTGCTGTCTGGTATAGAGTACTGCAGGAACAATGCTCCCAGTGACAGATAATTGGGGCTTTCAGGCTCTCTTATCTAATACAGAAGAGGTAGGGTAATATTACACATCTCATCTGATGAGAGAACATTACCATACCTCTTTCTATGGTAATCATGACATTTTACCTCTCCTCAGAAACTTGCTAAGCAACATGCAGGCCTTTCTGTCTGTGCTGTGAAAATCTTGCAGCTATGTGATAGAGATAACTACGGAAAAAGATTTGAGGAGGAAGTGAAATTATTGGATATTTTGAGAGAAGAAGGAAAAGTTCCGGCTGTAAATGTGTTGCGTGGTAATGTTTTGCACAGGTATCTTGCTAAGACAGAGCTTTCTCATCTATGAGTGTCTTGTTTTTAGCTGGGATAATTTTCTTCCCAGTAGCTTGTGCTTTGCATTTAGGATGAAAATAATGTTGATAGCACATGCATGTTTTAGTTGTAGCTGAGCAGCGCTGCACAGAGCCAAGGACATTTCAGCTTCCCACACTGCCCTGCCAGCAAAGGGCTGCACATGCACAAGGAGCTGGGAGGGGATAGAACCAGGACAGCTGACACCAACTGGCCAAAGGCATGACCAATAACATATGGCATTGAGCTGAACAACAAAACTGGGGGGAGCTGACCAGGGGTGGCTGCTGCTGCTCAGAGGTTGTGTGGGCATCGGTCAGTGGGTGGTGAGGAATTGCACAGTGCATCACTTGTTTAGTGTATTCTTATATCCTTGTAATTATTATTTTACCTTTCTTCTCTGTCCTATTAATCTCCCTTTATCTCAATCCACAGGTTTTGCCTTTTTTTTTTTCCCTCAATTCTCTCACCCATCCCGCTGCCAGAGGGGTCAAGTGAACAACTGCAGGGTGCAGAGCTGCTTGCTGGTTAAATCACAACAGTCCTTTAGGTGCTCAACATGAGGCTGTGATCATAGAATTAGAGAATTATAGATTAGAGGATCATAGGATGGCTTGGATTGAAAGGGACCTCAAAGATTGACATACCTGACCCCAGCATGTTAAAACAAAATTGTTATATACATATTTTTAGTTTAGTAGTTACTCATTACAATGCTGTTGATTTTGTTGTTGTTTTTAATCAGACTTGTGCTTGTTCTCAGAGTTGTGTTATGTAGCACCTTACTGTCTATGTCCCTGCTGTGCTGTCAATCATCCCTGTAGGCTGGATTAAGGTTATCACTTTGTACTGTGCAAACCTGTGTTGTTATATGATAAAAGTGCAAACTGTGAGACTAACCTGGTGTACATACTTGACACTGCCATCATCTCCGTACTTTGGGAACCATCTCTCTGAAACATATCAACAATTACACTCTTCACCTTTTGTTAGCAGGAAACCAATCTGTGAGAGAGACAAGGGGAAACACTTTCCCCTGCTTCTTCACCATCCCCTTCCACTCCAACCAAGTTACAATAGTTCTTGAGAATTTTGAATATACTCCAGATCTTCCAACCAACACGTTCCTATTGCTGTGTCTCCTGAATGTGCTCCAGGTTTTAAGGTTAAGCAACTATTTAAGTGTATCACCCAGAGATCTGCCCTAAGGCAGGATAGTTATGAACGGCAGAGAGGGTGGGAGGATATGGGCAGACACCTAGAACAATGGGCACCTCCAGTGCCTTGGAACTTCAGTCTCGAGCAAGTGCAGAATCTTGAAAAAATAGTAAAATATTTGAAAAAGGTATGCCATCCTCTGTCAGTTCCAAAAAGACACTGCAACATGCCAGGCTTTGGTCTATGCCTATCAAGCTGCACTCATCCAAAATCTTAAACACGGTACCACATCATCTGCAGGGAAAAAAAAATTGACTCTACCCTCATCTGAAACCAGGACAAGGAGTAAAACTGAATGCTCTGCCTCCTTTCACCGCTCAACAGTTCTGAAACTCATGACAGGCAAAAAAATGGCTGCACCAAGATCTCCCCATAAACTTCCACACCATCACTTGCAACAGATCTTGGAATAAAGGGAGATTATCGGAAGACCTGTTAGCTCTGTCTACAGTGGATTGGATTTCGGTTATGAATGCAAGTGATAGCCTGGCTATAAGTAAGAGACTGGAATAGATACCTGGAGTCAGTTACAATTCCTCTTTTGCAGTTCAAATTCCGCTTGTGTGACAGCCAGCATAAAACAAGAGTTGTGAGACAAGTTTCACATTGGGCCAGGCATTTGACTTTTAGAGGCAAGAAGTTCTTCATATGTTTCACACAAGGCCTGTAAGGAATTATTTGGTCTGGATTTGGTTTTATCTTACAGCTAGAAGCATTACTAGCCTGGCAATTTTATAATAAAAAGTTTCCCAGAAATATAAAACCTGCGACATTAAAAATGTGCTTTCCGTTTGAATCCTAAATGAGAAGCCTCAATTTGGAAAGAGTTAAAGCCTACCAGTGTTTGCTTTATTCTGCAAGTCAACCTGCGTCACTTATGTAGATGCAATCATGTAGCAGATCTTACAAGCAAGCTGGTTTAATTTCCCAGCAGATTTTTCTTGTGGCTCAGCTCAGATGAAGAAAGAACACTGCTTGTTGTGAGCAGCTGGGTATCTCGCCGTGAACGAAGGGTCCTCGCAGCCCTGCTTTGATCTCCAAGAAGGTGATTCACACACTGGTGCCAGTTCCAGAGGCTTCCCAGATAAATACTCCTTCAGGCTTCCTTTCCTCACCACGCTAACTTGAGGTGCAAGGATAGCAGAAATCTTGAGGAAAAGCATAGGTGCTGGATCTTCCTGCAGTGACTTATCTCACCTCTACCCAGTTCAGTCCAACCCCCCGTTGGGCCGCGGCTGCTCCAGCCTGCCTCCGTTGGCTGCCGCACTGCCAGCCCGCGTTCAGGCTCCGCCATCTTGGGACCGGCGGCGGCCGCCGGAAGCCGCCATCTTGTAGGCGGGGCCGCGGCCGGTGGCAGGGTGGCGGAATGGTGCCGGTGCTGCCGGGGCTGTACGTGGGCGGCGCGGAGTCGTGCTCGTCCTCGAAGGCGCTGGCGGCGGCGGGAGTGATGGCGGTGCTGACGGTAGACGCGGAGGAGCCGCCTCCGGTGCCGGGCGTGCAGGCCTTGTACATACGAGCGCTGGACGAGCCTGGCGCCGACCTGCTGAGCCGCCTGGACGAGTGCGCTGCCTTCATCGGCGCGGCGCTGGCGGGCGGCGGGGCCGTCCTCGTGCGGTGGTGAGGGCCGGGGTTGGTTGGTGTGGCGGGGCCAGCCGGCCGCCCCGGGGCTGCTCTGAGCCCTCGCCTCGTCTCGCCTTTCGCCTGCAGCCAGGCCGGAGTGAGCCGCAGCGTGGCCGTGGTAACCGCGTACCTGATGAAGAGCCAGGGGCTCGGCTGGGAGGAAGCCTACGCCGCCGTCAGAGCCGCCAAACCCGACGCAGAGTGAGTGCCCGTCCCCCGGCACCCCGGCCGGACGAGCTCGGTCTCAGCCTGCTCTCCTCTCCCGCACCGCAGGGTGAACCTCGGCTTCCAGAGGCAGCTGAAACTCTACGAGGCCATGGGCTGTGCCGTGGACAGCAGCAGCGCCCTGTACAAGCAGCATCGCCTGCAGGTGCTCACGGAGAGGTTCTCCGGTGAGTGGGGCAGCCTTGGGACCGGGGGATGCCTTGTCCAAAAGCCACACCGTGTCACTGAACCCTGAGCTTGGGATGAGTCAGGTTGCCCAGAGAGATGCCCTGTCCTTGGAGACGTTCACAGTCAGGCTGGAGTGTGCATTGCGAGGGTATAGGACTGGATGACCTTCAGAGGTCCCTTCCAACTCAAATGATTCTGTGAGTCCTGCTGCTGGCCCCTGTGCAGTGTACTGAGTGCTCGTGTGTGGCTGTGCCCATGGCAGTCATGCAGTCTGCATTATGCTGCATTGGACAGCACCAGGCACCCACTTTCTGATGTGCTTTAAATTATGACAGTTACCAGTCGTAAGCTGTATGCCATGATCCGTGACCTCTGGCCCCTGCTGCTGTGGCTTGTAGCTGTACTTAACTGGCTGTGGATCAGGTAGATTCCTTATGTCTGGTGTGCTGTGTGAGGACAGCATGGGGCTATAAGCAGTGAGCTGTGGTTCAGAGATTGTTAAAACAAAAAGGAACAACAATGCAGAAGACTCACTGTAGAGCTTATTTGCTGTTTCTCTGCACAGACAGCAAACTGGTGAATGTCCTTCCATAGTCATATATCTCAGGGGGGACGAGCATGATGCATCTATTCTTAAATGCAGAGAAGCATATAAGAGGGATGCCATCATACAGAGCTTGCTGTTGCTGACTTGGATTGCTACCCTCAAAGTACCTGAGCCTTGAATTGGCCAGACAAATGTTCACATCTCTGATAGCTCATTATCAGGCTCTTTGAGGCCTATCTAAGAAACAAATCTGTGATTGACTGTTTTCTTTGCCAAGATGCAGAAATAATGGCCAAATTGCTATTTCCTGATTATTATTTTTTATGCACCTAGCAAGCCAAATCTATCATCCCCCAAACAGAGCAAAAAGCAACCATTTACCTTTCTTCAGGCTAGATCTTGAATTCCTTTTCACCGTGTTAAATGAATCCCTATTTTATATGTGGTGGGATGAGGCTGTTTTGCTTTGAACTCACCTAATGGAATGGGTGAGGTCTTTAATCTATTTTTTGGATTTATTTTGCCAAGGCAAAAAAGGTGAAGAAGGTGACTTCTGTATATGGTGACCAGGGCAGAATGCTGTCTTCTCTCCCTGGAATGTATCGGTGCCTTTATCAGCCTGACTCACAACTCAGTACTGTCCCCTCTGCAGAACTTCAAGACTTACCCCAAGAAGTCTTTGCTGTTGATCCAACCAATGCACATCAGACTCCAAATACAGAAGTTCTGTACAGATGCAGGAAATGCAGGTACGGAACCTTTTGAATTTCCCACAAAATGTCATTTTGAAATGATCATGAGAGGAAAATAGCCTGTGTAAATTAGAGGCCATGTTGTTATTTTTGGAACAGGGATAAGAACTTGTGTAAGTTTCCATACAATGTTTGTGCCACAGAAATTAAACACAAATATGTTATGAAATCACAAAACTTGAAGTTGTGCAGCACTCGTGCATCCTAACTTGCCACATTATGCAGGCAGGTGTAATTCTGCTTGACTGTGTAAAGCTGCTTGATCTGCAGTCATATATTCTAGTTTGCTTTTGCAAATTGCTTTCTCTAGGGGGGAAAAAAAAACAGACCCAATTTTAACTATTTTTATACTAAAATACAGGTAGAAGATCCTGTTGCTCCTTATGTGTAGATATTTTTTTTTCTCAAAGGTATGAGCTTAGTTTTAAAGTTTCACTGGTAGGGAATTGTTTAAACACAGATCTGTGTAAGAAACAGCATACAGTAGTGAAGTGGAGCCCAACACTACACAGACTGTAAGGTTTGTTAAGATGCAGCCCTAAATGGAGTCAGTGCCTGCCTATGAAAAGATAGGCTATTTATTTAGTTACTGTCAAAAGGTCCTTGTCCCTGTGCTCTCTAAGCTTCACCCACCATTAAAAAAGTGTTTCACCTTTTTCCCCTCCCTGTCACGGAGAACAGGCGTGCTCTGTTTCGTAGTTCCAGCATTTTGTCCCACGTGGAAGGAAGTGGACCAACAGCCTTTGCTCACAAGAGAATAACGGAGTCTATGCATCTTCGTGGCAGCGGCCTTGATAAGTGCACCTCTTACTTCATTGAGCCTGTGCAGTGGATGGAGCCAGCACTGCTAGGAGTAACGGAAGGACAGGTGAATGCATTTTTGGGATATTCTAGCCAAGGTAAAACAAACTGTTGCTGTTCCTTGATGCAAAGGCCCCAGGGCAACATCCTAGATCTCCCAGTCTCTACTGCATCAGTTTTGCAGCTTATGAACAGATTCTCAAATATTAGAATATCCCTGTATAAGGAAATAAGCTGGTGATCTTGCTGGATTTAGTACACTAGGAAGGACGTTTGACTGTTTTTTTGTGTTTTTAGTGTAATAGAGTTTGTGAGACATATAAAACCTGTCATGGTCTTACACTGATCAAGGCTTTCTGATGTCTGAGATTGGCAAGTGTCCTGGAACCACACCAGGTTGGAGCAGCTGCATTTCCACACCTTCCCTTCTGCCAGCACAGCTGCCTATCACACATGGGGCATGGCAAGCTCCAGCCGTGTCTACATAGCTGCTGTAGGTTTTTTTTGGACTGTTTTTCAGACTGTTTAAGTTCTGTGAAATAATACAAGAGCTGGCTTTAGTGCAGGTTGCCGTAACTTAATATACCATAGAATACATTTGCATGCATCTTACAATGGATCATTTGTTTTTCTTGCAGCTTTTGTGTCCCAAATGCACATCTAAACTGGGTTCTTTTAGCTGGTGGGGTGAGCAGTGTTCTTGCGGCCACTGGGTGACCCCTGCCTTCCAGATACACAAAAGTCGAGTGGATGAAGCGAGAATGCTGTCAGTTGGTAACTTCCAAGCTACCAAAACCTGAACTCATAGCCTCTTTCAATGGACTGACCACAGAGAAATCCTAACTACTGTGGGTTTGCCAGTTCAGAGCTTGAGACTTCAATCCCTTTGTAAGCAGAGGAATTACTTGAGCGCCTGATCTGTTTCTGCTTTCGGTATAATCTAAAATACAGGATGCATACATTCATATATATATATATATATATATATATATATATATATATATA